ACAGACTTTATATTATAGATAGATATAGATATAAATACAAATGAATAGAGAGGTTTCAATTCAATATAATTCAATTGTAAAAATACAAGCCCAGTGCGAGCACATATACAGTGCCTTATTTGATGACACGCAAATTAGAAGACAGCAAACTATTTTAAGCAAAAGCACACACACAAGCAGAATGTATTGAATGGACCTGGACGTGGGCATGGCACATGTGAATGAATAAAATAAAACAAGCACTTAGAATCTGCGTGCTGCACGTACGGACGGTAGATTTGCTTGATTTTCACTCGATGACGACGGCCCTTTCATCCGGCGACGACGAAGGCCTGTTGTAATATCCACACGGTAAATTCATATTCAGTTACTGTTCTCAATAATAATAAAAAATCGACTATAATTCTACAAACTTGTTGAAGCAAGTACCGGCTAACCGGAGTTAAACGAGTGAGGCGTGACTTTTCATAATATTTGATGGAAATCATTTTTTCGTTTTTTAACTCACTTGAGGCTGGTTGTAATAGAGAGTATCATATGCTAGTATCATGCATATGATACTACATCCGTAATGCAAAATATCATATGTTGGTATCATAGTGTACTATATTTATTGTCAAGAATGACACAAAGTAGCACATCATTTAATATGATACGGTATCATGATATGATACTCAAGCATCTCTTTCTTTATTTAATTCTATGACATCTCATCAAAATTGCTTACTTGACATGCATGATACTACCTATGATACTACCATTACGGGCAACCTGATGCGGAGTACATGCTGCTTCCTAGTCATATGACACATGGACCTAACAGTTGGGTCACCTTTTCAGGTTAGGACTTGTTTTTCCAGTGGCGGTAAAACATGGAATCAATGAAACATATATATGTGCAATAAGAAGGGAGTTTTCCTTAAAATAAAGAAGAAGACTAATATTCGAGACAGCTTGCTGGTGAGGAGAGGTAGTTGAATTACTCACATATAAATAAACGATGGGAGTAGGATGAGTAGTTTACTACATACCTACTGCCATGCTCGCTTGTACTTGCAATGACGTCGAAGGCGTAAGCCTTCGATTCAGTGTTGGCCTCTCTATTAGGTGTTTTCATGATAGAAATCCTTCTACTTTGGGTATCACCAATCTGGAAGAAAGCCATGACTAGCCAGGCGAAGGTGATGAGCTCCCCTCCCGTGTTGGCCAGTTGCGCCACGTGCAACTCCGCCCTGGACTTGCTAGCGGCGTAGAGAAGAATCCTCATCCACATGTGTACCATCTCCTCTATTGTTTCCTTGGTTGGCTGGAGATCATACGTGTCCATTTCCTTTGAAAAATCGCTCACCGTATGAGGGCTCTGAAAATTTATCCACAGATCTGCAGTGCTGGTAGTGAGTGGCAGCATGGTAGGGTGGGCAACCAAAAGGTACATCATATAGTTGGATAGCTTACGACATACCCGCGCCATACTATGATCATCTTCTGCTGATGCTACCATGTCTGAATCTGAAAGAAGGGAGCATTTATTCAAGAGTAACTCAGTCAGAACATGCATCTCCACAACATTGTCAGCAAAAGAGCGTTCTAAACCATGCATCCTTTTTGCCAACATCGAGCCAACATTTGGCCATTCTCGAGCGGGCATCCCTCTGAGTTCATCATCTAAGACAATAATCTCCTTTGCAACACACGCCATGGTCATCTCATCAGCATCGACGTACCAGGCGTCTAACACTTTGCTCATCCAAAATATATTCACCTTCTCGCCACCAAAGAAACCAACGAACACCCTTATGACCACGGTCATCACTCGTTGACAGAATCTAGTCCCTCGGGTACCATTCATCCAACCTACGAGGTCGTACTGTCCGATTGAACTTGGCCACCGTTGCTTCTTCTCCGACAAGCCAATGATATCATTGGAAAAAATAAACCAGGACAACTTCGCAAGCCTCTCCCACTTCCGGCGCTTCAACATCATCCACGTCCGTGGTGATGTCGTGGAATTAAGTATTATTGACCAGACTTCTATGAAAAATCCTCCGATAAATAGTGAATAGGTGATTGCAATGTCGACTTTGGCATACCTCTGTTTGTCTACAATTGCATGGAAGAGCCCAAAAGCAACAACAATGGATAACTGAGAGATGTATCTGAATATCATGGCACTCTTTGTTCTGAGTACAACAGCCTTTGTGTAGAGCTCGTCGTACACTAGGCCAAGCTGAAGCCTCCCTATTTTCACAGTTTGGTTGATGTCTTCTCGCGGGTAGAAGTTTTCCATACAGTAACCACGTGCTGAAAAGATGTGGAGGGTATATGACACTGACCTGAGAGCATCATAAACAGCCTCAGAATAGCCCTGAATAGCAGGATCCATATCCACAAAACACCATGTTGTTAGGACCCGTGTTGAGCTCTCAAGGCCTTTAAGACTCCCACGCTTAAGACACCATGTTCTTTCTCCATACTTGATAATTCCGGCAACAAACACAAGGACACCTGAAGTGAGAAGCCCCAAGTTGTGTAGTCTTCTGATGTATCTCCAAAAAACATAGAATGCTAGGACAACTTGCACCACCAGATTCAACAAATGCCTCAGCCACAAGTTGTTGTCCTCCATGGAGAAGGCAGTAATGGTGTCTTGTCCACCAAGATGGATGAGGAGAAATGGTGCCCAAAAGAAAGCTAGTGGTTGGCTTCCCTTGTCAATGATGGTGGTGATGTTGTTCTCTTGTCGTGAGAGAAGGCCAAGGGCATAAACTGCTACCAAGTCTGCCCCCAAGAAAGCTAACCAAATGAGAACCCTTAGGAACCCACTGGACCTGCGGCGCCGAAGGTTTCCAGCAAACAAGAGGAACAATTGTAGTGTGAAGCTGAGAAGGACAAGTAGCTGAATTTCCCACTCATTGAAAAGTTTGATCAAAGTCCACATCATTTTGTCACACGCCGGCCACCTGATGCATGGCACAATAATAATTTCAGTGCGGATTTAATATGCAACATAAAAGAACTACGTGTGCACTAATAAAGAGATTTGTTTATATGGAACATGAATATTTGAATTAATAATGTGAGAACCGCAACTAACAATACATACGTTCAAAATATTTGCAGATCTAACTAGTATAATACAATGGAAATCGTGTTCTCGTGCATGATCGCAGGTTGAGATCAGTCTTTCCACCACGGGGCTTGGTTGCATATAGAGGTGCCATATATGTTTGCATATTTGAGATAAATAGGTGATCGGGCATCATCTATTTAGATTTAGTTATATGTGGTTAGCTAGGATTCGTTTCTAGAAGGGCGGGATTAAGCATGAGTGAGGAGGAGCTAGAAAATCACAAAGAAAGACTAGTGTATACAAGACTAGTTTAATTATGACTCTAGTACGTGTGTGCTGTTTTTCCAAAAGGAAATATATATGAATAGAGAAGGCAATGCATGCATACATACATACCTTGGATGGATTAGTCGGACCCTTTGGATCCCTTTCCTGGAGCCAAATGCCCGAGGTTTCACGTTCGTTTCGTGCTCTCAAACTAGCTAGTTAGTTGTGCCGCTTGAAGCCGCATTGCTTTGCTTGGATCGTGAGGAATTAACTAGTCTCCCGCTTTCGACAATCTATATATTCCCAGCTAGAGGAGAGGAGAACCTCAAGGTGTGAGGATGAATCGAGGCACTGGATTCCAGACGTATGGCACTCTCGTCGCTGGTGTGCTTTGTCTGATACGTTTCTTGCAGGTAGAGCAAAGGAGGAGGCCACATAGCTTGAAGACGTAAAGAGAGACCCATCCATGGTCGATGCTTTCCCGTCGCCCAGCTCCAACCAAGCAAGCGATCTGCTGGTCCCTCCCTGCCGTCCCCTCTCCTCCCCGGCCCTATGCCAGCCGGCGACGAGTTGTTGTTTTTCTCCTGCTTCTTTTACGCTGGTACTCTCGTCGCAGCCACAACAATGTTTCTCGGGCAGATAGACCCTGCTTCTTCCAACTACTGGTCAATGCGTACGTGCAATGCATGTTGATTTGAAAGTATATTAAGTGCATGCGGATATTATGTAGAATATTATTTGCGTGTTATTATGTGGTTAGCATTATATTTGGCATGAAATTAACTGCACGCTAAACGTGTTGAGCGCTCGACATTGAAGCGGTCTAGGTCGTTGGATTGATATGATTTGATAACCGAGATTAATTGGATCTGACCCTTTGGGTCTTTTTATATTGGTATAAATATAGATATAGATACTATACTACTATGTGAGATTCGCCACTATGTGTTGTTGGGACCTACAGGTCAGCAAAACCGGACCCCAATGGAGAGAACACCATATATCTATACCTACTAATAAAAGAAATAGGTATTCTTAGTCCGTCATGCTATTCTATCGAAAACCCCCTAATTTTTCTGACATTAAACCCGCAGTACATATTAGATTTTTTTTAGAAAAATACTCTTATCTTCTAAGCCGCAACTTCAAAATTAACATGTTATATATGGAATTTGATTAGAAAAATATATAGAATCTAAATACGATGTTATTTTACATGTTAACCATTAGAAAAAATACTATCTAGGGTGCAATCTTAATCAACAGTGCATTATCTGTTTTTCTTTAATATCGGTACTGATCCGGATTATGGATGAACATCTCAGTAAAATCAGGATTGCAGACGAAATTGAAAATCATTTGTCCGTTTCTTTGTATGTATTAAATCTACATGCAAGCCATGTTTAAATAGAAGACATGTGGAGTCTTGAATTGCGCTTTTGAAGGTAAAGACCATCTTTGTTTGGGCTGTAGCTACAAATATTCAGATTATAGATCATTTTTTGTAAATTAAGAGCGTGTGGTATTCTTTTCTCCCATTTTTTGTAAATTACGCTGGTACTCTTGTCGCAGCCACAACAATGTTTCTCGGGCAGATAGATCCTGCTTCTTTTAACTACTAGTCAATGCGTACGTGCAATGCATGTTAATTTGGAACTATATTAAGTGCATGCGGATATTAAGTAGGATATTATTTGCGTATTATTATGTTCACTATATTTGCCATGAAATTAACTGCACGCTAAACGTGTTGAGCGCTCGACATTGAAGCGGTCTAGGTCGTTGGATTGACATGATTTAATGGCCGAGATTAATTGGATCTGCCCTTTTGGGTCTTTTTATATAGATATAAATATAGATAGATATAGAATAGATACTATACTACTATGTGAGATTCGCCACTATGTGTTGCTGGGACCTGCAGGTCAGCGAAACCGGACCCAAAAGGGGAACACCGTATATATAATAAAAAGGAAATCGCCTGTGTGCGGTGCGCCGGCCAAAAATTTCGCCGGTCTCGTGCCACGCTAGCCTCGCGCATCCACGAAAGCCGCACCTCCGCATGAGACGCGTGTATACGTGAGACCCGCGCGGACCGGCCCTATCCTACCTTATCTTCTCAACCACTTCATCCCCTACCTCTAGTCTTCGTCTTCAACGATGTGTTTCTCTTCCTCCACGTGCTGTCGCGAACCACCACAAAAGCTCACCCATCAGCGGCGGGGCCCTCGTGTGGGAAGACCTCCCCGTCATGCTGCAATCCGCAAGGCGGAGCAAGCGGCATGCTGCAACCATGGCGGAAACTGCTGGACCCGGCCGAGAAAAAAGCTGGAACCATGGTCACGAGACGCTGCGACACGGAGGCCACCTCCCAGCCATGGACTTTTTGCTGGAGCTACAGGGCAAGGTTGTTGCCACTAGCTGCATGGTATGCAGGAACCGGCGGGGAATTTTGCTATATACGGTGTCATTTTTTGCTGGAAACCAACCCCTTCCTTTTTTTGCTACTACTGGCTTTGTGTTTTGCTGGAACCAACACCTTTTTTTGCTACCATCGTTTCTGCTCCAGTGACAGTTGTGTTGCGACGGAGCTGCGACCCCGTGTCGAAGGCGATATTTTTTGCTGCAACCGTCCTCAGATTTAGCTACTACCGGCGAGTGATTTTTGCTACATCCAACGCGGCGGAGCTGCTACCCACGTGGCGGCGGCGGTCGCTTTTTGCTGCAATCATTTGTTGGATTTGCTACCACGGACATTTTTTCTACATCCATTCAGAGGCATTTACTGGTGGCCGGCGTGGAGACGCAAACTATAAAGGTTCTCCAGCGAGCAGCGGAGGGGCAGCGAGGCGTTGGGGTGCAAGTGCCCGGCGGCCGGTGCCCTTGCGGAGCTGCACATGGAGGCGGAGTCGCATGGGGCTGCAGCGGGGGGATCAGGTGGAAAGAAGAGGACGAGTCAACGAGTAGCACTACCAGCCGTTGGCATAGGCAGAGATAACCCGACGGCCTAGCACTAGTAGAAAAAGGGCCATTCGACCCAGTTCATGAGGGCCATTTGTCCCAGTTCCCGAACCAGGACTAAAGGGTCGTAACTAAAGCCCTACACCTTTAGTCCCGGTTCGATCGAGAACCGGGACAGATGGTGCTCCACGTGACCGGAGCGGCTTGCCCAGGCAGGGGGACCTTTTGTACCGGTTGGTGCCACCAACCGGGACCAAAAGGCTTCCACGCATC